TGCTAATGGATGTATCCAAATCTTTATTTGGATATATCCATTGGAGCAAGTTAGGCTGAGTACTTTGAGGCTACCACAGTTCCACAAAACTGACCCATTTTAATGCACTAACGTTTTCAGGTACCCTCTGCATTGCTGTTTAGGAAGTCAATTCAGACATGGGCTACTGTGCAGTTCTAAACAAACTTAGCCCCCCTATTTGCTAATGGATGTATCCAAATCTTTATTTGGATATATCCATTGGAGCAAGTTAGGCTGAGTACTTTGAGGCTACCACAGTTCCACAAAACTGACCCATTTTAATGCACTAACGTTTTCAGGTACCCTCTGCATTGCTGTTTAGGAAGTCAATTCAGACATGGGCTACTGTGCAGTTCTAAACAAACTTAGCCCCCCTATTCTGTACAGCAAACGAGACCTACATCAGAAAATCAGCATTGACCATTTAATAAAGGAATTAAATGCTCGCCGGGCTAGTGACTGCAGTTCAGAAGAACTATCCATTACTCAAGTTTATAAAATATTAAACTTGAGCAGCTAGCCATATCTTAAGAAATCACTATCAGATTCTTCCAAAAATTTAAAAAAAAAATGTTGGCAGGTTCAAATATCTGCTCTGCTCTTGTTTTTTTAAAATACTTAAACTCTGCATTAAGAGATATGGGGAACTCCTGGAATTCATTAAATTTGAATTTATATAAAAAAGGGATTTTGGTGTTTGTTATACTAATAAGTGTTTTGAAAAATTAGTCCACAGCAGACCAAGGGACTCAAAGCTCAGTTCTTTTATGTCACTTTGAGGGAGATTTTTCCTTCCCATTTAAATCTCCACTTACATTTACCAAGGCACAAAGACGAGTGAATTACTGGCTCAGGCCCAATCCATTATGCCGTGCAGACAATTAGAGGATTCGCACACTAGCATGGAAACACAGATACAACCTTGTGTAAGACCCTGCGGCCCACGTGAAATAGCTACTGCAGTGATCACAGCCCGTGAACTGATGTCAGAGCACGGCAACATGCTCACAGCATCAGCAGCTGAGTTTGCACTTCACTGAGAAAGCAGTGTGATAAAGCTTACTGAAGCAAAATGCAGGACTATGTAGCACTTGAAAGACTAACAAGATGGTTTATTAGATGATGAGCTTTCGTGGGCCAGACCCACTTCCTCAGATCAGGAACTGGGTCTGGCCCACGAAAGCTCATCATCTAATAAACCATCTTGTTAGTCTTTCAAGTGCTACATAGTCCTGCATTTTGCTTCAGCTACACCAGACTAACACGGCTACATTTCCATTACTATAAAGCTTACTGTATGTGTACCTTAAATACTGCTCCTCACATGCTGGACTGCTGTTCCACATGCAGCTGAGGGTGCTAAGACCGGTCCTGTCAATCTAAACTATTCAGTTAGCATGTGTGAGCTGAACTTTATCAGAGCAGAAAGTTTTGGTGAGCAATCGCTGCCCACTAAAACATGCAAAGTTGGTAACACGAAAGGGGACAGGAGAAACACTCAAAAAGGGTTTTGCTACTTCCAATGGGTTTTAGGCAAGGAAGTCTGGAAGGAGTAAGCTCTTATAAAAAGATCAAGCTCTCTAACAGCCTTTCCTAAAACAGGGAACTGACAATAGCTACATAATTGTACAGAATGCCTCAGTGGGTTTCTAAACATTCCTAAGGCATGCTCAGGTCTGGACAAGGAAGGGGCACAGGTAGGGTATTAACCTTAAACTTTTCACATATGCTTGTCCATGAATGCTATAAATTGATCTGAGGAAGTGGGTCTGGCCCATGAAAGCTCATCACCTAATAAACCATCTTGTTAGTCTTTAAAGTGCTACATAGGCCTGTCTTTCGTTTCAGCTAGACCAGACTAACACGGCTACATCTCTATTACCAGGGCTCGACAAATAATGCAATCTACTCGCCCGAGTAGATTGTAACCTGGAAGAGCTGGGTTAGGGCGATATGCGCAGATCGCCAGACAACACAGCGGGGGAGCCATGTCTATTA